AATTGTGCGGGTTGGTAGCAATACTGATCTGCCAGAGCAACACTTTTTATTAATAAATAAAAATGAAATTTTTTTGTCGTTATAAGTGGCGGTTTAAAAGAGAATATTAAAAAAATATATTGAATTTTATTGATAGGTTTTGATCTTTGATGGAATACATCATTTCTAAGGTCTTTGGAGGAAAATAACAGTTATTTTATGACATTAGTGAGTTCGATGATTTGATGGAATATTTATTAATCTAAGTTATAATAATCAAGTCTTATTATTTTTTATTTATCTTTAATACAAATATTTTTAAACAATTACAACACAACTTTTATTATTAAATATATCATTTATTTTGTTCGTGTGATATTATTTGCAAAATTAAATAATACTTTCATTTTATCATCTAGTAATCGTTCGAAACCATCAAGACGTCTAAATAATTATAAGAAAGATATTATAGAATATTGTTTTTTAAAAATAAGTTATAATATTTTTACATTTGAAGATGAGCTAATTCAGCATCCACATCTGCCATACTTCGTACTCCATTGATTTGATATTTTTTCAACAAACTAAAGAAAATTTCAGTGGTTTCCAATAATACATTAGATCACGTTAAAAAGTAATTACTTAGTTTTAGGTGCTACGAAATTTATTTGACTTGTTAATAGTAACTTTTCTGCATCTTCTTTTTCTGCGTCTTCATGTTCTTCGTCTTCGTTTTCTTCTGGAACTGTCACTGTATTTAGTTTAGTTTTTTTAGACATAGCAACAATTGTTGAAAATACATTGGTTAATGTTCCTAGATATATATATGTTGAAAAGAACTTTTATTATACATTCATCAAATCAGTTTTACCTTGAACTAAAGGTGTCAATGACATTCGTCGTTGTTCACATTCTAAAAGTTTAGTTTCACCAGATGTATATGCTTGATCAGGTGATAATTCAACAATAGTGCTTATTGGTCGTCGTGTAGTAGAATCTATACTCATACGAACACCATGATAAGATCGTATTGCAGTTAGTTTATTAGCTGGTAAATATATATAAACAAAGATAATATATTTTATTATGTTTTCATATTAATTTACCTTCGTCTCGTTCATTTATCATACTAAATCGGTTTTCTGTTTGTAGTTTCGGACGACGTTGCCGTATAAGTGCTTGAATTTCCTCATCTAATTTATAAAATGGTTTTGATTCATTTAATTTACACTAAAAATAAATATTTAAACATTTTATTTATTTAATAAATAAGAAATCAATCATTGATTTGTTTTTTACTTCTCGAACATCAAATGTAACTTCAAATCGATCAGCAAATGATTTAGCAAAATCAGGAAATAATTGAAAAACATGTGATAAATCATCCCGATGAATTTTATTTAATGTGCAATACGTTAATCCTTTAATAATAATGATAATATTAAAAAAAGACAGCAAGATGAAAACTTTTTATTTGTCGTTTATTATTTACCTTTTACAACACATCGAGATTTGCCTGGTGTAACCGTATTACATGGATTTTCTCCAAGTATATCATTTTGACCAAGTATTGCTTGTGATTCATTATTTAATAGTACTTCCATTTGACCACCACGTAAAAAATAAACTGAATAGAGAACATCACCTAAAAATATGAAAAGAATAATCTAAATTTGAATTATTTATATTATAATATTTACCATTATGAATGAGTGTATCACCTGGTGGAACATGAGTTGATTTAAAAAGAAGTGCTAATGTTCGAAGAGTAACTTATAAAAATTAAAGTTAAAATTTATTTAAGATAAAAATCTAGTATAAATCATCATCATCAATATATACCTTCACTTGCGTCATCAAATACTGGACAATTATTTAATAAATCTCTATTCAGATGTAAACATATATCAGCTTGAATAGTTTCTGGAAATGTTTTCAATATACTATTCATATCAATTCCTTTTGTATTTTTCCATTCATGATCAAATGATTCTTGCATTTGTTTAGCAAGTGGCTTACTAATACGATGATGTTTGATAAAATCATTAACACTTTGTTTCATTTCTTTCAATTCTTCTGCACCTTGATATAATTTAATGATAATCGTTGTTACACTTCCAAGAATAGAGGCACTTAAAAAAGCTTTTTCAAAAACAAAATAGAACGTACATTATATGCGTATTTTTTTTCTTCAAATTTACACTTACATCCAGCTAACATTGAAAGAATAGAAAATAATTTTTCACCATTAGTATTCTATTGAATTAAGAGAGTAGCATTTAGTTAAAGAGTATAATGATAGATATTATTTTACCGCTGCAACATTACCAAAACCAACTGATGTTAATGATGTCATAGCAAAAAAGAGTGCTGTTACATATTTAGATTTTGTATCTGGTCCACTCAGTGTATCATTTGCAACTAAAATGAGAAAAATTTATTTAAATATAATTTTAAATTATGATTAACATACGATAAGGCATTTTATATTTGTCTGCAAGATGATCAAGCCATGAATATTTAACTAGTAGATTAGGTCGTTCAAGAATAGCAATAAAATGAAATATACAAGCAAGCCAATGTGCAGCAATAGCAAATAGAAGCATAAGTAGAAATAAAACTGCTGATCGATATTCTGTTTTTTGAAAATTTCGAACAAATGCAACAAGTCGTAAGAGTCGAGCTAATTTAAAACAATTTGCTAAACGCATTGTCTATTTTGATTTTTAAAAATAAAAAAATGCATATGTTTTTTTTTGAAAGAAAAATTTAATTACCGAATGACTTCCATTTCCAAAAAATAGAATATCCCATGGTAATGCACCAAGTATATCGGCACCGAAACGTCTCCATGAATCAATAACAAAATGTTTAGCAATTAATATAGGATTTGTTATAACTTCATTTGTTTCTTTTAATACAAATGTTGTACTAAAATTTATAAGTAAATTTTTTATAAAGAAAATGAATATTCTCATTAAAATAATTGAAATACCGGAAACTAATTAATATATCAAATATAAACATAAAATCAACGAGAACATCAATAATAACTAATACATGAATACTTGTTCGTTCTCGATTAAATTGTCGTGTTGATGCAAATGCATTTAAATGTGTTCGTTTTTGATCTTCAACAGATAGAAATGATATTGTATATGGTGTTATTATACCTGTATATAAAACAAGTAGAATAACTACCCAATCCCATCTATTTAAATAAAGAAAAATTTTGTTTTTATAAATAATTAAATCAATATATTAAATCAACATACACAGCTTTAAAGGGTGAATAATGAAGAATAATAAATCGTTGACCAAGTCGACGTGAACTTGCTGCTGCTTCAGTTGCATTTCCTTGTTGACCTAATACAGGAGTAACACTAGATGTTTCACTACTTTCTTCTGATGGTGCCTAAATAAGAATAAATAATTAGTTAAATAAATAAAATTTTATTAGAATAAATTAATATTAAATTACAATAGGAAGTTCACGATCAATTCTTAAATGTGGTCGAGTTTCAACTGCATTAAATGAAAATTTCGATGGTCGCCTCATTGATGCTGTTGTTCATTATTGTTTGTCGTCGTCATTATTATTCTCGGCGTTCTCTCTTCTTCTATATTTAAGGATCTCATAAACAGCTCTTTTTCTTCTAATACACTTCGTGTTACACGGTCTTAGTTTTTTTTCTCTCTTATTGACTCTTTTGTCGCGTTTTTCTTCTTTTTTTTTTTTTTATTCTCAAAGAAAATCGGAAAGAGTACAACTTTGTTTGTCTGCTCAGAGCACCAACAAATTGTTTGCTGATCGGTAGGCAAATTGATAGTTTTAATACAAACGGAAATCGCCTGTTTTTTGGATGTATCTATCAATTTGTAGATATTTAAAAAGAAGTTTTCTTGAACTCAATAAAAAAAAACGTCTTCTTTAAAAAAACTAATCATTACATATCTGATTTGTCAAGTATGTTTGCGATCTAAGCAGATCAATAAAAGAAGAGAAATATATATATGCGTCTTTTTTTTTCTTTTCGTCTTTCTTTTAATCTGAAGAGAAGGGATGATTGCTTTAATGAATGTCGTATTTCATTATTTCCGCTTTATTACAAAATGCCAACAAATAGAGCTAATCCAATTCAATAGTTCTGATCAATCTATATTGAGTACGAGTTCACAATAGAGAAATAATATATTTATTTAAAATTACCTTTTCCAATGTTTTAGCACCACGTCTTTGATGTTGTGTACTTTCAGTCATATTGGAGCTAATATGACTATCTCTCATTGTTTCAATAGGAGTATTAATTGTTTTAAGAACACGCATTAATTGTTGTGTACGAAGAACCTATATAAAATATTACAAAAAATATTAGTATAAAACCAATGTAAGTATAATATAAAAAATATAAATGAATATTTTTTCAATCGTATTTAAGTAAAGCTCTTTTTTGTTATTGAAAATAGGCTTTTGTCAATACTTTATTATGAAAAAATAGTAATATATATGATTATGAGCTTTGAACATACCGTCGTTTGAAAAGATAATCGTCTGTTTGAATTGACAGTTGGTTGCACAGAACATTGTGATTCTTGAGGCACTGTAGAAGCTCTAATTTTAAGACTTTCCATGTTCATAAAAGAATGTATGCGTATGCAAGTATAACAATCGAACTTTATATATTTGCTAATATAAGCGTACTTCCTTGTTTATGAAAGACGATTCACAATCGATTGCACTTGTCTTTTCTCTATGTTTTCATTTCCATCTTATATCCTTTGCGTTTTTTTTATATCGTAGTCTTATTGTTATACGATGCTAACATGCATCACCCATGACAATCTGTTCGATTGATGTCATCAAACGCTCGTCTCTATAAACTGAATTGTCAACACAAACAAGCAGAACTATCCACTTCTTATACAGCATTATTCTCTTTTTTTTGCCGCTCTTATTATGGTACCAATGGGAGACATTATTACCAATGTTATTATACTAATGATTTTGACTTTATATGTCAACAATAAGCACAACAATGTTTTGTTCTCTGATTGAGCACCAAACATTTTACTTGACACTTCGAATGAATGATTTTTCTTATTGGTTCAAGACCATATATATATATATTGATTCTTCTATACCGTGAAAAAAAACTAAAGTGAATCAATCTTAAAAACTATTAGAGTATGGAGAAGTTCCAGCATACAGATTTGAATGATCTTCCTCCATATTCAACAATCCATTCAAGCAAGCGTAAATTTTCGACAGATCAATGTCGACCCTGAAACTGACAACACTTAATACTACTCATGAATCTTAATATCAATCCTAACAAGTGATATCTACTCGTAACAATACAAACTTTACACATTCATTTACAAAATTTACTTTACATGATCTACTCTACCATATACACAATCTGATCTATGTGTATAACAAACAACTTCCAAACACATATTGCTTGTTTCATTTTTTATTCTTTTTTTTTTATTAATAAAAAGTGTTGCTCTGGCAGATTAGTATTGCT